TATCAACAATTTTAAATTTCATCTATTACAATATATAGAAACATTTAATGAACACATGTACAGATATTTGTCTCATAATATTTTGTACTGTAAATGACAAGTATTTTGATTAAAATTATCTCCTAATATAATAAATTTATTACACAAATACATGTATATTAATTATTCAATTAAACTAAAAACATTTCCTAAAAATCATTACCGTACAACAATTTCTCTTTTACTTTTATCTTCTCTTTGTACAACAGGTTGGATATTTTTATTACCTTGAATATAATTCTTATTTTTCATATTATTATTATTATTATTATTACTATTATTATTTGCAATCTCACTTTCCCTTTTCTTCTTTTCCAATGCTTTCATATATGCAAGGAAAGACGTCCAAATTAAACTACAAAAACTTACATAAATTACCCGGTTGTGTTCCGGAACAAAAAAGAAATTGATTGTCTGTAAAACAGGCCATACACATACACCAACCTAAAAATTACATATTATTATTATTATTTAGGTTCCTATGGTTACAAATTTATTGTATATATAGGACATTTATAATACAAAAATTTACTTTATATGTGGGCCAAAACTTTTGTTTCACTTCTTCAATACATTCTGCAACTGGTTTGAATTCTAAAAGATTTATACCAAAGAAGAAACAACACATTGCAGCAGGACCGTATGAAACTTGTTCTACTAAAGCCTATAAAGTAAATATTAAAATTTGTTAATATTGCATCTTATATACATATTAATTATTTTGAATAGTATTAATATACTTTGGTAATTGCAGATTTAATATCTGACTTTGGCCAAAAATATGAAGAACATCTTAACCAACAGTAGAGTGTTGGAGCTACAAAGAAACCACCATATAAACTGAATCTTAATGCTTGAATGTAATTTATTTCCTCATTTCCTGCAATTTTTTGTTGCAACAAACTTCCGGTGGGCCATATAACGGTATAAGAAGCCATGCCCCGTACAATCGGGTATTTTTGCGTCACTTCGCGAATTTTTCCATAAAGAACACGCATATTTAGCCGTTACTGAAATATAATAAATTTTAATTACAAATAAAACTCGTTAAGTTTGTTAATAAAAAGTGATATTTTTAAAA